TGCTATGATCTCTGCAGTGCTATGTCTGTGCTCTCTTACTTGGGTAATTCTGTAGCTTCCTCCTGTACCTCTCTCTGTCTGTTCATATTTTCTGTCTAGTTCATAGGTTATACTTTTTCCTCTGGTATTTTGCCGCTGCCTTTCCTTCCTTTTCTCCTTTATTCCTCTGCCTCACCCTTTTAATCTGCTTTAGTGCTTTCTTTCTTTACCTCATTATGTGTTTTTGTTTTTGCCTTCTGTCTCTCCATTGGTTCCTTTCTCACTCAACCTCCTGTTGTGTACGGGCCAACCTACATCCCACCCATCTTGTTGTTTCTCTCTTTTATCTTTCCTCCTTCCCCCCCCCCTCCTTCTAACCTCCTCTCAACAATAAAAGTTACTCATGGCTTGAGGGGGAAGCATCTGGCCCATGCTGGCTCTCATTCTCTCTCTTTTGTTCTGAATGCTCTTTTGTTATAAATACAACAAACAGAAAAGCACAAAATCAGCTCTCAAGGCAAACACTGCATAATAATCCTCCTTGTCCCTGCTCCTCTTATCTCTGAAGAATTTGCTCTCCGGGCAAAATAAGAAGAAACATGAAAAAGGGTTTGCCAAATTTGGAGGCAAAAGAGAGAGACTAGAAAAAGCTTCATCATATGAGGCAGCAAGTTGGGCAGATTTGACAAAGCAGGTAGGGCAAAGTGAAATATAGCTTCCCAGGAGCTTGGACAGCACAGTGATGCCCCTGTGGGTGATCTATCCCTGTTGATCAGTCTCTGTTCCCATTAGGTTGTGGAGGCATGGTCAGGATCAAAAATATTAGTTCGAGGTTTTTTTAGCACTCAGTTTTTGGTGCCTTCTCATTGGTGCCTTGAGCCAAGGCCTTGTGTATATGAAACGTGTTTGCCAGAGAACTGTACCTGCTGGACCTCCACTGATGTTCTCAAAAAGCCACAGCAAGGTGATTCTGTGACTTGCCAGCTCCAGTCTCTGAAATAAATCAAAATAAGAACAGGCTTGCCCATTGTTGGGGCTCTTGCTTAATGTTAGATAGGGATTCTCTGACTAAACCAGCTTTCCTCACAAAATGTAAGCTCCCTGGAAATGAAACGTTAGTTGGCATGCACTAGTTTAGACATGCAAGTGTTCTCAAAGCTAAAAAGAAAAAAGCTTGTTAAGCAGAAGGCAAGCCTTTCCCAATCCCCATAGCTCTGTGGTTAGGATACTGGTGGTTAATGTGGGGCAGACAGCATCAAGTTCTACCTGGGACCGGTTCTGCCTTGCCCTTCCCTTAGCAATCTTACATCTGCCTGTCCACATGCAGTGGGCCTCCATCCTAGCCAGTTAATGCATTTTGCATAATATACGAGTATTATATTCAGAAAAATCTGGGTGATTAGTTTTACTTGTGCTGTATCAGATAGCCCTGCTAAGGAGCTGTTAAGGTACTTCCCCCAGAAGTGATCCGTGATGTGGGAGGTAGGTGTGTGTCCTAGGACAGAAACAAAACTGGTATTTAGGAGGAACAACCTATGATGCAAACTTCAAATGTGAATATTTAAGCATCAGCAAATGGTGCAAAACTCACTGAAATGGGTGTTTTTCCCACATTCCTTAGGAAAATTTGGGTTCCAGTGGTGCATTTTGAGCTTGTGTCTCTTTTTTACTACTGTTTACTTTGCCAGCACTGTAAAATAAAGAAGTACAACCCACTATGTTTTGCATTATGTGTTAGAGACTTAATTTTCAGCTGAACTCTTATTGCTTTTAAATTGGACTGGTATGTATTTAATCTAGTCTGGAAGTTTGGATTGCTTAGCACTAGCAACAGATTCATGTGGGTTAAGAATAAACAAGGAATGAGGACATTTCAGAAGAATGCAGTCTAAAAATTGCTTCTACAATTTGGATATGCTTAGAGCCTCCACAAATATGGCAACTATTCACATTAACTAGTAAATTAATATTTCCTGAGCTAATGCCAAAGTTTGAGACATCTGGGTGATCAGACTCAAGGTAGAGTTTGCTGTGTTTGCAAACAAATGGAAAATAAACTAGGAAAAGGAAAAACAAGTGTGAGCCAAAATTAGTCAAAGAGGGTTAGGGAATTAGGCTGGACACAGCTCCTTGCTCCCAGGTGCAACCAGTAGCAAGGCTGACCATGTATTCCCTGTAGGCACGTGCATAAAAACACATGTATGCATCACATATGTACATGTATATACACGGCTGCCACTCGGATCAACAGACACACTGTGCATTTACACAAACACAAGCAGCACCAATGGCCTCACGAAACAAGCAGGATGGAGGTCCAGTAGTGGGAAATATACATATATATATATATATATATATATATATGTAAATATGGTAAAGTGGATCCTTCCAGGAGCTGGGGTCAGAGAGTCTGACCCCAGATACCAGTCTCCCTGACGCTGGCATGAGGCTGCAGCCCCACTCCTGTTGGTGATGCACACACACAGACACGCACTCAGGTGTCCTGGCCAGGACAATCCTGGTCCCTCTATAGCCAACCTGCCATAGCCTTGCCCTTAGAGACAAGCAGACACCAGTGGTTCTCACCCCTATAGACCCCCAGACCCCACAGTCTCTCCAGCAGCTGGCTGGGACTGTCCTGGTCCCTCCGATAGGCAGCTCCTCCCTTTACAGGCAGCCCAGCTGACCTGGCACTCAGACCTCCATACACACACCCCACCCCCAAATAGAGAACACCTCACCAAGGAAAAGAGTTAGAAATAGAAATTAACAGGATTGGGCAAACGGTGCTAATCAAGCGCAGGACAAGGCTGGACACTTGTGCTGGCCTGCTAAGAGTTGACATGCAACTGTCCCTTTTTTCCCCTCGTCTCTCCTTTTCTCCTCTTTGTTTCCTCCCCTAAACATCCCATAGTAAGTCCTGTGCAATCCCAAAATTCTCTTCCCTGCATCCTGTAAGGTGTCCGGTGCCCCTGCACGCAGCACCACCTCTTCCCCAGTCTAAGAGGTGCTCCAGGTTTGGCTTTGTGATGAGTTTCACACCTGAACAATAGTGCTGATGGCTCTCCTGGGACGGCACCTGGCCCAGGCAGGGTGTCCCTTCCTCTGAGTCCTTAATCCGGGTTGTCGCCTGGCATTGTCTCCCTGTTTTCCTCCGGGTGTGTGAAAATTGGGCCTTTGATGTGCTAATGGCTCTTAAGATGGGCCTGGGGGTAGCTGGGGCAGGGTCTTAGTTGGGCTCCTCTTCTGCTATTGTCTCTCCATCCTCTTTCGTGGGTGTGAAGAGGAGCTTTTGTCACATAGCCTAAGAAAGAGGACTGTGCAGGCATCCTGTGCCCTTCTACACAGCTTTTTCTGCTGGAAATAATATTTTAACACCACACAAATACCCGCGAGGTACTTACCACATAATATCCCATGAGTATTTATCAACCTCACTCACCCTTATAAATGCCGTAAAATAAAAGGGTATTTGTGAGGGTGAGTGGGGGAAAGCTTTGACCTGTTGATTTCCAGTTCTGTGTGGCCAGGTGACCACGCCAAACAAACAACAGAAGCGAATTTAAAATGTGATTGTTCCAGTTCCCCAGAATCTTATGACAAAAGTGGTGTCTGGTCTCAAGGTGTTTTTTCTAACAATGAAAAAACAGGCTGTCAGGTTTCTCCCCCTGTCCTTGCCCTCATCCCCAGCTCTCAGCTGTTGCCATTTGCTGAAATCGAAGTCCTTGACAGGTTCTTAATTCAGTGAAGACTTCTATTGTTTGACAGCAGTTTTGCCTGAGATTCAAAGCACAGCTCTTCATTATTCTCCTAGAAGAGTTTGGTAATTGTTTGACCTGAAGGATGGACAGTAAATGACTATGGAGCACAGTAGCCTAGTTTGATTTAATCATAGGACAGTTTTGGTTACAAGTGACCTTAAAAATCATCTAGTTCCAATCTCCCTGCCATGGGCAGCGACACCTTCCACTACACCAGGTTGCTCAAAGCTCCATCCAACCTGGCCTTGAACACTTCCAGAGAAGGGGCATCCACAATTCTCTGTGCAATCTGTGCCAGTGCCTCACCACTCTCACAGTAAAGAATTTCTTCTTATTATCTAATCTAAACCTACCCTCTGTCATTTTGAAGCCATTCCTTCTTGTCCTGTCACTACATGCCCTTGTAAGGAAGGGTGCAAGTCTTAGGCTAAATGCAGCTTTGGCTTTGCCCCCGTAGATTCTAGCATCGTAGGAAAAATTTGTTTTTAAAAATAAAAACATGCAACCAACAAAACAAACAAACAAAAAAATCCCCCAAACTCAGCTATTCAGAACTGTGCTTCATGCACAGCTTTGGGAGGAGGGATGAGCACCCACAGAGCACAGCGTTAGACTTCAGGTTTCTGCCCGTGCTGTTTGCGTGGCTGCCTCTCTGCACCGTCACTGCCGGCCTTGCTGCTTTGGCTTATAGACTGAATAATAAATATCTTTATTTTTAAATACAATAAATAATAAATAAAGATGTCGCTTTGTGTCACGCAGCTGCTTTCGGCGCAAACCAGCGGTACTGTACCAATTAGCCAACGTCTGCGCGTGACATCCAAGGTGTGGTGGGCCCTTGTCCCCGCCGCCCGTGCCTTCTCCCCGCGTCCCTGCGGAGCGGGGAGCG